ACAGAGAGCTTTCTTTAGGTGGTAGAGTTGTTCGTCGACGGCGTTATGTGGTGGCGCCAGATCCAGCTCGGTTGTAACGGTACACTAATTTCAGTTTGTAGGTAGAGCAAATTACGTTGACGAGGCAAATACGCACGTTTGGCAAAGCTTAAAATTTTAAAAATAAAAATAATAAATGCAAAAAAATATCTTCCTTTCTCTTTCCGCTTTTCATTAATTTTTTAATATCTATTTGACAGAATTTATAAATAATTTATAAAAAAGAATTATGATAAATTTCACGAATAAGTAATAATGAGCAGTAATATGTATAGTTAAAGTAATGTTTGAGAATTGAGAGGAAATATAAATGAGTCCTGCTATGAGTACTGGAATACTCACAGAAATCACATAGGAATTTGAATTGGAGGGAAGAGATTCAATCAAGTGAGGAGGGAAAACATATATTGAGGTACAAGATTCACAAATTTCAAATTTCTGTCAAAAATCTGTCAATAATTTATGTACTTAAGGCATTATTCAATATAAATTTCTTTCCAAACGAAGTATAGGTTAAGAAAGAAAGAACATTGTTGTTTAAAATGTTTGTTTCTTTATTATTATTTATTTTATTTTATTGCTTAAAATGATTATATATCAATAATCCTTTTTCAAATTTAATTTTAGCCCCTTGTTCTCGATTTTCTATCATTTTTCGATCGTTATACAGTGCAACACTAAGTACATGATTCTCATAAAGTAGCATGTATTGAATGTCTTGTTCGATTGATTACTCAGCAATTAAAGTAGACAACAAAATGACATATATGTCCTTCTGAGCATTTCATTCATTCTTCTCATGAAGGCATTTTCGATAATTCAAACACCAAAAAAGACGACTGCTTCTTATTTGTCCGACAAGTTGTTGAAAAAATGAAAATTTTGGTTCGAAGTCCATACTATTGGAGCTGATTGTTTTTTCAAAGAAATACATTTTTTTCATCTAAACGATCCCAAACAAGAGCTTAATTTTACAAAATAAAACCAAAAAAATTGAAATATGGCTAAAAAGTCGAGATGTTGCTCTATCTATTATTATATTTTATTGAATAGTTCACTTTTATTAAAAAAGATAGATAACCTCATTTATATTTTTATTCCAATCATATTATTTTATTCAATTAGTTAGTTCATTGAAAAATATAATTACAACATCCTCTACAGTTACGCCATAGTCATCAGAATTTAGTAACCCCGCAATAAATATATTAAAGGTGCTTATAAAATAATAAAAATACTATCAAATGTCATTTTTAAT